GTACTGGCTGTAAATGATGCTAAATATAATATTTTATGCAATTAAGGGCTTACAGACCATGTTAAAACTTTTTTACTTTTATTGGTAATAAGGAATGTTTGCACCTCCATGATTGTGTTGCTTTTGGATGTGAAATCATGTAATTATTTCTGCTGTTAATAGTAAGTGCCATAATTTTAATAAAGCAAATGTACATATGAAATCATTGTAACTGGTATTTCTTGAAAAATAGTTCATTGGCAATTAAACTTAATTTCTTCCTTATTAAGTTGTGATATGCATATTTATGTGCACTTATTGGAATACTGGAATAGGATTGTTCTGTGTTTTTATGTTGGAATTAGTAGGTTTCTTTTTCATGGTTAGTTGAATAAGGAGTATATGGTAAATATTATGTTTATGAGGTGCTCATTGATGTAGTTAAGAGTGGAGTTTACTTCAGCTTTTTAGGGAGTAAGATTATTTGATATGTATGTTGTATAAACGTATTTGAAAACAGACACATCAAATATGGGTCTCCTTTAGATGTAGAGTTTGAATTGATAGTTCCTTGCCTTGGCTGCATGTCTGGGGCTCATTCACACTTAAGCTTACCTGATAGAGAATGTTCATCTTTATTTATTTTTATTTGTTTTTATAAAGATATACATGGATGTAGAGTATATTTTTACATATTATACATACATGAGTATAACTTATTCTGATTAGAACCCCATTCTTGTGATTGTACTAAATGTGGAGTTTCTGGCCATGTATTCATATATGAACATAAGAAAATTATGTTAAATTAATTCTGCTGTCTTTTCTATTCCCATTCCCTTCCCTTYGTTCCCTTTGTTTAATCCAGTGGACGTCTATTCTTCCCTCTCTCCCCACCTTATTGTGTGTCAGTATCCACATATCAGAGAATATAGTTGGCCTTTGGATTTGGGGGATTGGCTTATTTTACTTAACATGATAGTCTCTAGTTCCAATCATTTACCAGCAAATGCCATAATTTCATTCTTTATGTTTGAGTAATATTCCATTATGTATATATACCACATTTTCTTTATCCATTCATCCGTTGAAGGGCATTTAGGCTCGTTTCATAGGTTAGCTATTGTAAATTGAGCTGCTGTAAACATTGATGTGGCTGCATCACTGTAGTATGCTGATTTTAAGTCCTTTGGATATAAACTGAGGGATGGGATAACTGGGTCAAATGGTGGTTCCGCTCCATCTCCATCCTGCTTTCCAGAGTGGTTGCACCAATGCATTCCCACCAGCAATGTAGGAGTGTGCCCCCCCCCCCACCACATCCTCACTAACATTCATTATTGCTTGTATTCTTGATAATTGCCAGAGAATGTTCAACTTGTAACTGAAGCACAAAGCTAGGTGGAGGAGGCCTAACAAGCTTTCTCTTCTGGGGTTTCCCAAATTCTCTCTTAAGCTTTATTTAAAAAGTGCTTGCTGCTTTGAAGCTCAGAGTCAGCACTTAGAACATTTTTCATTGCTTTGCAGTATTAAAAATCACACAGAAAACCTTGTTTGGCTTTATTGATAGTTAATTTAATTCGATTTCTGTGTTTTTWAAAAAACTTTTAAAAAGCTATATATAAGTTCATAATCATGTTTATGAAACACTTGGATCCAAAGGAGTTTCAGAAATTGATTTTAGAATGTTAATATGAGGGCATATCTGTTTGTGATGACTATAGGCAGCACCTTGTGATCAAATACTAATATTTCCAGAAAGCCTATGAATATCCACACTTGAATACATAAGTCTGATAAATCATAGAGATTCAGGTCAGGTTTTGCCACCAGTAGTTTATAGCAGATATATTTGAAAATATTTTATTTTTCAGATTTCTTTAGATTTTGAAATAGACAAGGAATTTTGGCTCTGAATTCAATTTATGTATTTTACTATTTTATGCTTTTAAAAATCCCCCTCCCCCTTTTTTTAAGACAGTGGAACACAGGTGCTTCTGAGTAGCAGGGATGGTGCAGGAAGGAGGGCATCTCTAGCAAGATGGCCAACTTATACATAGTCTCCTTGCCGAACTGGGCAAGGAACCTGCATGGTGCATCTAGTTAATGAAGCAGGGGTAGGGAGCCCAAGAAAAGTTTAAGTAGAAGGTTGTTATAGTGTTCAACAAAACAATGGGAAGTTGTTCACAGGTCTGAACATCTTGGGGATGGGTGGAATTTACTTCTTCCTTAGTGCCAGCTGACACTTACTGTACTTTAAGTGTTTTGTAAATCTCCAGAATGATGTCTAGTGCTAGTAGAAATCAGCAGTCATAGAAGATTTTTCCATTCAGCCATTTTCAATCCAGATTCTACCAGAGAAACAACAGTAGGGGAAAAGAAGAGGGAGGAGGGGAGAGAGGGATAGATAGATATTGATTTAGTGAAAAAATTGTCTTGTGATTGTGGAACTGGCAAGTCTAAAATCTATTTCTGCAGGCTAGAAAGACTTGAGTAGGAGCCAAACCTGAAGTCAACAGGTGGAATTCTTCAAACTTTGGCTTCTAAATTTGGTTTTCATTTCTCTTGTTTTAAGAGACATGACTTAAAAGTAGTGTCATTCATTCATTTGAAGCAAAACCCAAAAAGTAAAACATCTCTGAGCACATTGCAGGTGTTATATATGCTAGGTGTTGGGATATGATGGGCACATTCCATTCCATGAATCTAACTAGCCTGATATGATTTATCTACTAACATGAAATCAGTCAACTTATATTCTAAAGCCAAATTAGTTAAATTTTATTTATTTTTTAAATAATGAGTCTAAAATGTTTGCTTTTGGGGGGGGGGTTTGTTTTGTACCAGGGATTGAACTGAGGGGAACTTAAAAGCCACATCCCCAGCCCAATTTTCTTTTTTGTTACTTTGTTTTGAGATAGTAGCTTGCTAAGTTGTTGAGGCTGACTTTGAATTTGTAATTCTCCTGCCTCAGCCTCTTGAGCCATTGGGATTACAGGTGTGTGCCACCACACCTACTGGTCTCTTTTACAGTTGACACGTGGTTCTGGAAGTACCCTCCTTTACCCTGAATACAAAAGCTGGCCTCTARGGAGACAGAATTGAAGTCAGTGTGTTTATTTAGTTAAAAATATGTTTTTTTACAAAATTTATTTGGCTTTCAAACCTCAGCAATAGTAAGTGGCATTTAAAATTTGGAGAAGACTGGTAGAGCCAAGTAAGAAGCAATGCTATTTGTGGGAGGGAGGGTACCAGGGATTGAATTTAGGGGTACTTGACMACTGAGCCACACCCCCAGCCGTATTTTGTATTTGGAGACAGGGTCTCACTGAGTTGCTTAGCACCTTGCTGTTGCTAAGGCTGGCTATGTACTCGCAAACCTCCTGCCTGAGCCTCCTGAGCTGCTGGGATTATAGGCATGGGGACACCGTGCCTGGTCAAACAATGGTATTTTTAAATCAGGGGAAAAAAGGGGATGAACGGCCATATGAAACAGACACAAAATAAAAAACATTAGTGTGCAGGGTTTCAGAACCTCTGCCTTCATTCACTCTTCCCTAAAGAAGGGAGGCTTGCCCKGTATGTGAACTGGGGAGAAGGGCCTAGAATATGCAGCTCTAACCTATTAGTGTGAGTTTGGTGGCCTTTAGAAAAGGTGGTCTTTCTTTCCATTCTCTATAGGGAACCATGAGAGTTGGGACACTGCAGTTCTGCCTGTGATCCCAAAGTTTTTTTTAATTCAGCTGTGAAGTCCTTTTTGCAGCAAACCCAATGTCTTTACAATTAAAGTTTATATTTTTATTGTCTTCTTTTTGATTCATGTGTCTACTTTTCAGTTTGGTTCATAAAAGAAGTCAGGGTTTTTTTTTTTTGATCCCTAAAACATCAACACTCCATTGTCTACCACCACTTTGTATAATGAGTCTGTCTATGCACCTTGTTAGGTGTGTTTATCATCATGACCTTGGACCTTCAGTGAAAATTTAAAGTACATCCTATAATGTATTAATAATTTTAGGATACAGACCATCTAATTTTTTCAATCTAACAAGGGGTAAATTCCTTATTGTTGGAGAATGCAGCTATCTGTACAGCTTCTTTCAAGATGATTCCACTTAACTGAAGAGGAAAAAAAAATCAAATTTAAACATTCCCCATATTTCTCCTTGATTGTTTTTCTTGATCTACTGTCATCTGAACACCATCTTTTGGACATGTACTATGAGAACCAAGCTAAGTTGGTGATCCTATGTTAGGTCAACAGAGCTTAAAGACATTTGTTTTTCACAGATATGGTACAGGAAGTAAATATGAGAAAATAGCAGAATGGTTTACTATGACCATAGGCATGTTGTGTTAAGAAAGCAGTATTGATTTTAAAATTCAGGATTTAACTTAATGGAAAAGGTGAATACCAATTTATAATTAGAAGCATACCCCCCCACCCTGAAAAACTTTAGGATCATTACATTTATAGAGTTTTCTCTTAACGGCTTTGGGAGCATTGTGTTTGTATTTGCAATTGAATGTGTGTATGTATACTCACTACTTCAAAACCAGGGAGTTGTGAGCAGCACTGTTAAATTAGCACCTCATTAAAGCAGCACTAGAAATAGTTCTTTCTCTTGATTCTGAGACTAGAATAAGAACTTGAACTTGGTATACATCCTATAATTAGGATGTTCCAATGCTCTTGGTCTTGCTGCATCTTTAGCTGTTTGGTGATTCTTATTGTAGCACTGTTTATAACAAAACAAAAGCAAATCCCACCACAGAAAGTGGCGACATCTTTCAAAGTAAGTTCCAGGCCTCTATAAAATGGACCTGCTTTCATAGGCTCAGCATCCCAAGTGTTTTAATCAACCCACACAATTACTTGCCACACTAAACTTACTTTCACCAAAGGTCAAGAGGGATTTAGAAGGCAGTCTCCAGTCTCTGTGGTATAGAGGGAAGCATGCAGGCTGAGCAGGTAGGAGTCCCACCACTCACTACTTGATMATGGAAGATGAAAACAACACTTGGGGATTCAGTTTCTTTATTTGTCCAATTGGCACTGTCTCATTTGTACAGTTGTCATATAGTCTGGTGTTTGGGATAGAATGGGAATATATCAGTGTTTCCAGAGAAAACAGCTATGCAAAATTTGGGTCATAGTTTGGGTCAATTCCAGTAGTTCTCTGTGACCTGTGACTTGCCCTGAGTCTTTGTCATCAGTACCTTGAGGGAGAATATTACTAACCTCAAAGAATTGTTTGTAGGGATTAAAGAAAGTAAGAACCATGGAGTCTGAAATATGTAGGTTGATTTTTATTGCTAATTGACTATATATATATAAAATAACTTATTTTTTGTAATTTATTCAATTGACTACATATTGTAAATCAGATCAACCTCAAATCACCATTGAAACCTGAATATTTTCTTGTGAAGCCTGACACACTGTATGAAGCTGCAGGAAGAAGGAGACGCTGTATAGAACTTGGGACATTTTTGTATTGACCAGTTCTACTTTTGTGAAGAGTTAGATATCCACTGTTGAACATTATAAATTAATTCCACACCAAAATTCAACATTTTGTTGAACATTGACATGTATGAGAGATGGAGAAGAGGGCTAGGAAAAGTCCCAATTGTTCTGATGAAAATGAATCCAGTGGAATAAACATTCTTCTGACATTCTGATTTTTTGTATCTAACATCCACAGGTCACCTGGAGATCATGTTGTTTTGTTTTTGGTGCATTCCTCTGGAAAGCCTGTCCTCCTCCCAGTTCTCATCCTGTCTCAGTCTTGCAGGATGTCTGGCTGCCCCCTAAGTGGAAAGGTTCAAGGCCACACTTCTCAGGGAAACAAGGCAGGCGGTCTGTGGAAGAGGCAGTGGTTCAGAGACAGACGTGGCTGTGTTCCTGGCATGTGGTATCCACACCAGCCACAGACAGATAGAGCTTCCCATCCGGACACACACAGATTTCATAGAGTCCCTCCGGGCCACCAGAGGGACTCCAAGTCCCCTGTACCAACTTGGGTAGACAAATGGTTTCAGTATCAAGCACCAGCTGTTTGGAAGAAAGAAAGGGATGGGATGCTAAGGAGGAATGAAATGGATCAACAGGAAATTCATATTCTCACAATGTTTCAAGAAGATTAGTTTTTTCTCATAGAGAAAGAAACAGGCACCTGACTTGAATTAAGCCACATCACAATTATCTGTTGATTTAAAAACCTACTTCACATTTGCATGCCGGCAGGGGCCAGACAATTCCTCCTCCAAATTGGAGGGAGGCCGCTCTTCGTTTTTTTGTCCAGCTGGAAAAACTGACCACTCCTGACACCACGCTATGCCCTTACAATTTGTGTGTTTAATAAACTGGATTGCTTTTCAGTACTATGATCGACACTCCTAAAAATTCTTTTCAGAATTATTTGACAAAAATAACACAATTCTTTGTCAATTCACATTTATCTTGTGAGCCACTTTGACCTCATGTTAAATTATCTCCTCATTAGGATGATGTACAAATCACAGAAATAGATTCATCTTGATAATTTTTACCTGGGAATGTTGGATTTATCCTGATTTTATCTGTGATTTTGTTTTCCTATGAGAGACAAATTACCCTTGTTAGCAATCAACCATCGCCCTAACATTGTAAGATTGTTTGAATTTCCACTTCTAGATGCTAAAAACAATAGATTTACTGATGAAAGCCAATTCAAATGCGATGAAAGTGACTAGACCCGTCTGGTCATATTATAATTTAGTTAAATTGAAATGCAAAAACATAGCTATTGATGGAGGCTTGGGAACATTTTTAATAAGGAAGTTAAGAATCATCACACTGAGCAGGAGCATCTAGCTGATCCTTAGCCATCCCAGTATGCTTACTGGAGGGAATTAAAATAGGTTGTGGTTGGGCATAGTTTTCTTCCTTGCTGACAAGGTTAGGTCCTTCGTTTATTTCATGTAGCTGTAACCCTGGAATTGCAATCTTAATCAACTGGTGTCTGTCTGCTTTCTACCTTCTCCCTGAGACACGGGCCCTGCTGTGCATGGTGCGAGCAGCGTCACAGGCAGAGCTTGCCTTACTTACGTGGCCTGGCACATTGTTAGAGTAGAGGAAATCAAACGGAAATTATTGTTTGAAACTCAGGTGTCCAGTACATGAAGTTCATTGGGTCCTTGCTTTTCCCCAGTGTTTTTAACTTGTTGGTTTCTTTCCCTTTCCTTGTGGTTAATTGGACATTTTTTTTTCTAGTTGTTTTCTAGCTGTTATTTCTTTTCCTACACTTTCAGCAAACGGTTATCACTGGCAGCCCACATACCTCTTCCTTGCTCATTTTCATTTGCTCTTAGGGGACAATATTTGGTTGGGGGGGAGCTGAACATCTACCACTTCACTTTGAACTAGCTCCTAGTAATAAGAAATATCAACTTAAATTATGGGTCTGATCATGTGCTACTTGTAAAAACGATGCCTTAAGTGACACCATTTCAACATTAAGATCAGTTTAATGTTTTTTGAGGATTATACATTTTAAGTGCATAATGATGCTATGACTCAACAATGGGATTCCAAAATTCTTGGTTTCCATTTCTGCTTTATCTGTTCTTTGTAAGCTCCAGGTGCAGGGGGTTCTCCAGGTGACATTTATGTCCACCTGTAGGCAGCTAGCTGTTAGGTGCTGTCCACCCACCCTGTAACAACCTCTCATGGCCTGTTTGAGGACAGTACATGTGCATCTCAACTGCACCTTCCTATTAATATTGATGTCATTTCAAAATATTGTATTAATGTTTCAAGACACTGTGACATTGTTAAGCAAATATTTTCCTGCTTCATAAATGAGGACCGGGGAGAGCCACTGAACTTTTCTGAACTTGGGTAATGATCCTGACTGGCAGCTAAATCCTTAGGCCATTGCACTGTGCTATCTGTGCAGGGTCTGCATGTTGTCACAGGTATGATGGTCCGACAGGGCTGGGGAAGGAGTGTAGAGATCCATATACCCCCTCCTTGTACCAACAGCTTCCACAGACTGATTACATGCACTGGAGGCATAAGCAGTATAACCTGCACCATTCACTGCAAATTGTAGTGAAGTTGGAGCTGTTTAAAAGAAAATCCATGGATCTGTGCCTTATCCTAAACACATGAAAATACCTAGGGACAGGTGAGAGAAGATGAGATCAGTTGTTTGTGCACATTTGTAAGACAGTATCATGTGATTGGAATCAGCTTTTCTGCCAAACCCTGGGTTTTTTCCTAGAGCTTTAGGAACATCCCTAGCATGCCTTATTTTCTGGCTGACTGAAATCGAGTTTTTCCTTTTAAAAATAAACAGTATTCCAACAAGTGACATCGAGTGACATGTGCTCCATTGTGTCATTATGACTTTGACTTCTAAGAGTGGTGTTTTATTTCTAGACTTGAAGTCCCAGATTATATCCCTATCGTAGTTGACTTTCAAAAAATGCTCTTATTTTTCACCTTTCATTTTCATTTAAACTTAATTCTGTGTTAGTGCTCTGGGCATTACCAGACAATGATTGTCATTTATAGATAACCCCCAGTGACAGCCAGCCTGAGAGTAGCTGGGTCACTAGGAAACGGCAAATGATATTTTCTGTAAGCTCTGAAAGTTGGTAATGTTTTTACAAAGTTGAAAAAAAATAAGAGATTGGGTAGCACAAATGCCAACGAAAGCTGTCCTGATCTAATGTGGAATAATTTTCACCTTTCTTGGCCCTTTCGTTGCTGAAGTGTCTTTTGCTTTCCTTTCACATTTTCTACAATATGGATTTTATGATATTTCATTAGAGAACAACCCAAAATTTAATATCTGATACCTTGATGGACATGGCTCAGGAATTTCATCACAGGACATACGTAGGATGAACTCACCATTCCATCACTGCTCTGAAAAATGATGTCCATTTGAGAAAGTGCCTCGATTTTCCCAGCATGAGCTTTAATATGAAGCCCCCTCGGGGCATCCATGCTCAGACTCCGTGTGGGGGATTCTAACCTGAAGTGAGAACAATGAGAAAAAGAAGCCAAGAAAAGTTATTACTTACAAAGCCACCCTGGAGCCAGGTGTAGTGCTGGGCACCTGGAGCCCCAGCTACTTGGGAGGCAGAGCCAAGTGTATCACTTAAACCCAGGGGAAGGGAAAGGAAAAAAATAGCCACCCTAGCAATCCCTCGAGCAATGGCTTATCATAGAAGGTACAATTAACCAGGGATATCGGATCTTTGAGTCGTTCTTAAATGCCGACATGCTGTGCCTTATTCATTGATAAATCAAAAAATAATGTGTAGTAAAGAAAGAAATGTGCTATCCACAAGACCCTCTGTAATTAGTGTCCTTTAAAAACGTAGACAGTCCTAATCCTGTGCAGTGTTCAGCTGGTATGATTAAACTTGGAGGCATTCCACACCAGAAGAAAAATTCCATTGTGAAGGACTTCGTAAAACTATTAGAGTATTTATTTAAAACACAAACTTATTTGGAAAACAAAAAATGGATTCAAGATCAACACATGCATTGGGCACATGTTTGGCCTAGGTTTTCTTTCTCCTTCCTTTTTTCTTTCTTTCCTCCCTTCTTCCTCTTTCCTCCCTTGTTCCCTCTCTCCTCCCTTGCTCTTTCTCTTCTCCCTCCCTCCCTTCCTTTCTTTAACTTAGAAAGATGGCAGGGCAGATGAAAAGATTTCTTTTGGAACAAGACTGAAGTGATTAAAGTGAATAGAAGAGAGTTGGCCTCAGCTGGCTTTGTTTTAGCAAAATTTATTACAATCTGATACAGGAATATACAATTCAGAAAATGTTTTATTTGCCTCTACCTGGAGAAAAATAAATTTCCACCAGATGGCACAATGTGATCACTGGAATATTTTTTTCAGCTGTTTAGCCCAAAAGTTTGAAAAGCTCAGTTCACGCTAATGTGTTAAGATCAGCGAGAGGGGGCTGGGGTTGTGGATYAGTGGTAAAGCACTTGCCTAGCACATGTGAGGCCCTAGGTTTGATCCTGAGCACCACGTAAAAAATGAATAAACAAATAAAGGTATTGTGTCCATCTACAACAACAAAAAATGTTTAAAAAATCAGTGAGAGGGACAATAGACAGATATGCAATTCAAAACTCTTTGCAATGTAAGGTAGGACTGGATGGGAATAGGGTTAGGAAGGAGAGAGAAAGAGGTATGGTTTAAGGAGAAATGCCTTAAGAATGAATTTGCTTTTAAATTAATATTAATTTGATAAATGGATTTTTTTTTATGCTGGGGTTCCAACTCAGGGACTCACACATGCTAGGTAAACGCTGTACCACTGAGCTACTCTTGGTAGAGGGTTTTTTTTTTTTAATATATTTAAAATTTTTTTTACTTATAGATTCACATGATATCTTTGTTTATTTATGTTTCTTTTTGTTTATTTATTTTTACGTGGTGCTGAGAATTGAACCCAGTGCCTCACGCGTGCTAGGCAAGAGCTCTGCCACCGAGCCAACAACCCCAGCCCCTTGGTAGAATTTTAAATCAGATGGATACTACCTTTAGTTGGAAAATTATTTACCCATCACTATGATAGAAGACAGATTTCATTTCTGTACATATATCAGAGCGTATAAAAATTTTACTTGCCCCACATTTTGAAATCTTGAATATGAGAAAACTCTTAAAAGACATTTATGGAATTTATTGGTCATATTAGGTTAGGCTCCACTTATGGGGAAACACTTTGGTGTATCTAAATGTACTTGCTCTGGGGGCTGGGCTTGTGGCTTAAGCGGTAGCGCGCTCGCCTGGCRTGTGCGGGGCGCTGGGTTCGATCCTCAGCACCACATACCAATAAAATAAAGATGTTGTGTCCACCGAAAACTAAAAAATAAATATTAAAAAATATTTCTCTCTCTCTCTCTCTTWAAAAAAAAATGTACTTTCTCTGGTCCAGCTTGCTAGTTTGACCTCTGCTAATTGCCTACACTTTTCCTGTCTGRGTGGAAGGGAAGGAAGGAAGAGCACATAGGCAACTCTGAGAGGCCTGGCTCATTTAAGCAACCCATGGGTGCCCTAGGAGGTCCCAGTGAAGTTGAATGTTTCCAAGACCAGTTACTAATTAACAGCAATGAGTTCAAAACGACCATTTACTACTGCATGGGTGGAAAGATGTGATACCTTTTCTCACCATCAAAAAAGTCCCCGCCAACACTCCTCCTACAATACACAGGTTCACAAGAGAGAAGCATAACAGATTTGTTTAATCCAAGTTTTACATGGCACGGGTGCATTCAAGAGGGGTGTCCCCAGACCCAGGGAGACCTGTCCGTTGTGCTTAGGTGTAATGAAGAATGGACAGCCATGTAGAAACRTGGCTGAGTGACAGGGTGTGACGCAGTGGTCACAGAGTGTACTTACACAAACTAAGATGACAATGGCCTCAGCAGGTGATATAAGCTTTTCTCCCCCACCTTCCTTTATTAGTGCATTATAGCTGTTCAGAATGGTGGGATTTGTTGTTACATATTCGTGCATGCACATGATATAATAATAGAATTTGGCTAATATCACTCCCCAGCACTTCCCCCTCCCTCCCTGACTAGGTGATACGAMCTTATGGGACCACCACCACATACACAGCCTATTCTTGACAGAAATATCCTAATGACTGTTAAGAACTATATCCATATGCTTACATGTACATCTCTGTGTGTGTATTTATTTTTTCTATATCAAATATTTTTGTCACTTCACAGCAGTTTTGTTCTCAGAACATAAGACCTTGACTTTGCTTTCAGAATTTGACTTACTCTCTTCTTGTTAATTCAACCAAAGATGTCTGTGAAAGAGAAGTTGGCTTTGGGAGACTTCACAGTTGATTAGTATCACACACACACACACACACACACACACACACACACACCAATTGGTATGATTTACTTCTAATGCAGATGAGTTTTCAATTGTGCTCGTTTTAAAATAAAAATAAATAGAATTCAGTAATTTCCCAAAGCTTTGTTGATATTCATTCATTCATGAGACTGCCCCAACACAAAGACATGATGAGTGTTTGAGGAGGTGGAAATGCTAATCACGCTGATCATGTTTCTAGAACACGGCTAGTCAATCATGTATGACTTTAATATGTATTCCTTATGTCTTGTAGTGCCATTCAATAAAAGGGCAAAAGTTAWGGGAAAATATGGATGATATTTGCTTTAAACATTTCAAACTTAGATTAAGCCCAARTTTTGTAAATATGATAGAGACCAGGAAGCACAAATACAATTATGATAATAAAACAGATTTTATTTGGGGGAGGGAGAACTTCATGGGTCTATCAATGGCTGAATGCCAAGTGGGTAATTAAAAGGAGGCTGAATCCTGGCATCTGTGCCTTCATTTTGTATCAGTCTCCTTCGCCTTAAACTATGAGTCAGATTCCTGCTCAGTTCTGCATGAGGACATGTTAATCACTTAAGGAGTACCTAAAACCTGGTAGTCCTAAATTTTTTCCTAATCTATCTCACCCCCCTTCAAGTGAAAGACATCAAGATAAGAGTAACTAAGTTATTTTCAAGATTTGCAGGGTCATTTATCTGCCAGCTTTTACGACGTTCTGTCACAGACCCCCTGGAGTGGCACCTATACTGGTGACATATAATTTATTGATTCCAGTCATTGCTCTTTTTAAAATTTATTTTTATTTTTATTTTTAATTGGTTGTTCAAAACATTACAATGCTCTTGACATATCAAATTTCATACATTTGATTCAAGTGGGTTATGAACTCCCATTTTTACCACCTATACAGATTGCAGATTCACATTGGTTACACATCCACGTTTATACATACTGCCATACTAGTGTCTATTGTATTTTGCTGCCTTTCCTATTCCCTTCTTCTACCCCCTCTCCTCCCATCTTCTCTCTCTGCCCCATCTACTGTAATTCATTTCTCTCTCTTGTTTTTTGGTGGSGGGAGGGGAGGGGGTATAGGAAGGGAATAGGAAAGGCAGCAAAATACAACAGACACTAGTATGGCAGTATGTATAAACRTGGATGTGTAACCAATGTGAATCTGCAATCTGTATAGGTGGTAAAAATGGGAGTTCATAACCCACTTGAATCAAATGTATGAAATATGATGTGTCAAGAGCATTGTAATGTTTTGACTGGCTCTAGCTCAGCGGTTCCTTTGACACAGAATTTACAACCAGTCATTGCTCTTCACCTGCAGTCATCTTGGATTCCAGAACAACAGAGCCCAGTAGAGCACCATGATGAGAGTACCACCCCACAAAGGAGAGCAGTTTCCCACAACAGGAACTGAGACTGCCCCAACACAAAGACATGAGGAGTGCTTAAGGAGGTGGAAATGCCAATCACGATGATTTGAACATTCTACACTGTGTATATATATGAATTGAATTATCACATTGGACCCCACAATTAAATATCATTAAAAGAAATAATTGCAGTGGAAATACTACAAATATTTCAAAATCCTTGTCATTTCCACTTACTTTATACATCAGTTATTTAATGAATTCATGTTTAGTTTTTGAACCATGCTTATTTTTTTTCATTATGTCTTTACTAGTGACACCTAATTTAATTGATTATACTGGTGACATATGATTTAATTGATTCTAGACGTAGGACTGCTGGGGATGACTCTATTGGACACAACTGTTTCATAGGACCAGGACTTAGGAGTTATCTCAACTCAGGCTTTTCATGCACACTGAGCTGTCGCTTGGCATCTCAATCCCTGTATCCCCATTAGAGTCCCAGCCCCTAGTCTCTGGAATTTCCCAAGGGTACCTTGGTTTAGCTTCCCATCTGCTCTGACCATGAGCTTCTTCTTTATTACTGGGACCTGGGAAATATTCTTTTTTTGCTTCTAGTTGAGTTTAATGTCTGTAAACTCTGATTAAATAAGCGTCAGTATTTACAAGTATTTGCAAAAGCGCCAATGTTTCCATGTTTGATCATTTATTTATCTGATGAAGACTCTGTAGTAGACATTATTCCCAGAAGTTTACACATACTAACTTGGTTGACATCACATCCCTATGTGGTTGCAGAGGATTTAAATGCTTTCTTCTCTGGGATGTCACTTCAGATCACTCTGGGAGGTTTTATGTTCATCCTTCTGTACCCTTACTATAATTTGCACTTTTATCAGAGCAACTAATTAAACTCTCAAATTTGTATTCATGTTTCTTTTCCAAATTGATTGTTAAATCACTAAGATAAAAAACAATGTCTTTGATTCCATACAACTAGGACTTATTATAGATTCTGGTATCTAAATATTTCAATATATTTTTGCTGATGTTTTTGAAAAGAATAAATTATATTATGTATGAATGAAAGCCAGCTTTAAAGTAACATCAGAGTTTCTATTTACMTGTGAATGATTTCTCCACAGGTCATATAAATCTAGCTTCCATACAAGTTGTTCATTTTTTATTCAAGAATAATAATAACTATCTTCTTTCTACGACTAACATTGAGCAAACAAACTTTAAATTGTAATAAATCCATATATTTCAGAAACCTATTTATAAATGCAGTGTGATCTAAACCTTCCAAAAATCATATTAAATATTTTATTAGGTCAATTAGGATATTTTGGAATCTTTTTCAGCTACTCATGCAGGAATAGTAATGCAACTGGATACAGAAATAAAAAAGTGAAACAGTTTAAGAGTTTGCAGAAGAAAATAAGACCATCATACAATCAATCATGGAAAACTGATAATAAATAAAAGAACAAATCTCAAGGGTCTATTTGGGTGCTGGGCACAGTGATTAGGATATACATGGGCTCTAGAACTGGATCTGAATTTGAACTATGGAACAACTACATCTTTAGTTTTGTAACTTAGAACATGGTACTACCTTGATCTCATTTTCTTCCTTTACAAAATGGGGATAATACTGTTTACATTTTGAGGCTGGGTTGATGATTAAATGAGATACATTATGTGAAAGCCCCAGGCATAGTTACTGGCAGTCACAGGCATTCAATAAATTAGTTAATACCTTCCATTCTTACCAATGCCTCAAGTAATTCCTTGCAACATCAAGGAATATATCAAGGAATACTCAAGTAATTCCTGAGTATTTGCTCAGTCTCTTTGGTTATAACACTTGGATTATATAATTTTATGTATCACCTTTTAGAAAGCAATGGGATATTCTTTTGTCTTCTTTCTAAATAAGAGTGTGGTAAAAGCTAGCAGGTTTATGTCCTAATGGGAAAACATAGAGGAATTAATTTTGAGAGCTACATATTTTAACATTTATTTTAAAAAGTGCTTTAACATCTCCAAAAGTTGTATTATTTTGCTATTTCAAAATAGTGTTAATGGGATTACTTTTAAAGATATTGAATGATTTTCCTGTCTTCAGAAAGTAAAATATTTTCTTCCCTAACTATAATAGTTCTTTAATATCAATCTTATGGTCCTTTATAAAAATTAATGAACGTTGGAGTACTTTAATTATAGCCACACTTTATTTTTATGTTACAAATGTTCTRTAAGGGATATGATAAATTGAAGTTCTATTTGCCTTTAATATTGATTTCAATATTAAATAAAAGGAAAAAAGTTTGAATTTCCTAACTCCTATTAGTGTGAATACCTATTTAGTATAATAACAATAATAAAAATGATGGGGATTAGTATTAATATTTAAAATACCAATTGGATGAAAAAAAATCTCAAAAAATTAGTTTGACCAAGGCTACCTGGGTGGTCCATGTAAATCTGGGATCCCTACTGTACCTTATTTTCCCTATTGTACATAACAGATTATAATATGCTAATTGTCCTGTATATACTTCAACTTTTAAAAGTGATTTACAGTGATATATTGGACTTAAAGATCATTTATTTTAAAGGCTATTATTTGGTTTTTGACATGAAACACATATATTATTGGAATCGACATTACCATGTGACAGTCAGTAGTCTGGGAGAGGTGAAATACACACTGGCACACAGACTCTGAAGGTGAGGAAAAAAATCAAAGTAAACTCACATTTTTAAGAATGCCTTTGGCAAATTTCAAAGTCCATGTATGGGCACCATTCTCTTCCACTAAAAGGAAGAGAAAATATTTTGCCTTGGTTGCAGATGGTGTTGAGATGGATGGTATAGCAAGAGAGGCCCTCCAGCCAGTTGGAACAACTTGTGAGAAAGTATGGGTGGAGGGCATGGCAGCCACTCAAGTCTGGGAGGGCACATAAGRAAGAGACAGCTGCCAGGCACAGCCTAGAGCACAAAAGGCCATGAGTACCCCCTGCAGGGCTTCTAAATTTTCCTATGGTTGAAGCAGAATCAATGAAGTATTTTTAAATAGTTTGCAATGAGCAAAGTCACTCTGATACCAATGTGAAGGGCAACTGGAGAGGAATAGGCTGGAGGGAGGAGTAAGCTGTTGGAATAGTGCAGAGCCTGAGGCAAAGCAGTGGGGACAGGGAGAGTGAAGAGGCCTGGAACTCAGAGAAAAGAGTCGTGTGTAATCAATAGAACTTGTGTCTTGTTTTGGAGTTCAATTAATAATGACTGGTTAAGTGCAAAAAATCAATGAAAACAAAGTCAACTAATGCAGTAAGAAATAATCTGGTAACAACTGCTGACATATTATTGTACCACATACCCAGTTATCTTCTGTAAGAGTTTGTTTAAATTGGAAAAAAAAATTCTTACCTAAGGTCTTGAAATGGGTCGGCTCTGACAAGGGGTGTCTCCACCGAGTGTTCAAAAAGAGCTCCTTCAGGCCCTGAAAAAAAAAAAAAACCAAAGATGTGTTCAGAACCAAAGCAAAATTAAATGGCAAAATTAAGAAATAAAACTTTCATTCGACACAGGTTGAGCATCCCTAATCTGGAAATCCAAAATACTCCAAAATCTGAAACTTTTTGAGCACTGACATTGGTGTCACAAGTGGAAATGTCTACACTGGACCTTATGTGAGAGGTCACATGCAAATCGTATAATGTTACCTTCAGGCTATGTGTTTAAGGAATATATGAAACAAACAAACAAACAAAAAATGTGTCTTCAGACTTGGCYCCCATCCCCCAGATTTCTCATCATGTATTAATTTTTTTTTTTTWAAATCTGAAACATTTCTGGGCCTAAGCACTTTGGATAAGGGACACTCAATCTGTAGATTTTGTTGTTTGTTGCTGAATTTGTACAGATGTTTCAGTCACAGAAAAAAAAAAAGGCACAACTTCTTCTTTACTTTTCTAGACTACAACAACATCCTATCAATGAAATGTGATTTTCAAAATGATTCAAAATCAGTGGGTTTATTTTTAAACTAGAGTATGGCACCTGTATCAAAATGAAAAGAAATAATTCCTGTTAAAAAATGCATTTGCATTTATGTTGTAGGCAACGATAAGTTAACTAATTATCTAGATTTTATGTGTAAAAGTTGTGTTGTGCATTTATTTCTAATGCATAGAATAATTAAAAATTAAATATTCAAAGTAGACCTGCTAATTTCTAGCAATTGGTACATTACCATTTTCATTAGTTTAAGAACTAATTGCATGCCAGACATTCTGTCATTTGGGGTGCAGAGATATTCAGTTGAAAATGACACACTGTTATGTCCTAACTTGTTTAATACTTTGAGCCTTATGAAGTAGATAATATTTTCCCAACAAGGAAACTGAGGAACAGAGAGGTTAATTTGATTTCCTAGGTTAAGACAGTTAAATGCAGAGTTGTAATTTGAATTTAAAGCCCACATTTTAATCTATAAGCTGTTGGATTTCTCATACAAAAATAAACTATAGATGTTTGATAGAAAGCAATGTGCCAGGAGCAAAGTACAGCACAGTTATTTTGGTGGTCATTGGCAGGGAAGAATTACTTTACAAGAGCTGGAAAGACTTGATATGAAAAAAAAAAACATTTAGTCTGAATCTTAAAGGGCATGGACATTTATGAATGTATGTAGCTCATGGGCAAGGACTGCAAGATAAACTGTAATCTGGGGCAGGAAAGTGTTATGAGTGCACATCATGGAAATGTAAAAGATCCAAGATGTAAATGCAATTTCATTGTTCATCTAAAATATTTCTCCTCTTGAATTTTATGGATAGACATGTCTGCATGCACCTGTCATGATTTACCTTGGTGGCGGGAGCCTGGCTCAGGCCCTACCCCTAGTTCAGGCCCTGCCCATCTCAGGCTTCCTCTGGTTTAGGCCCCTCCCTGTTCTTGGGCTGCTGCTGTAGTTCACAAGTAATTTTATCTCCCTCTTGATTCCACAGGGATCTCAGAACTCATCCTCACATGGTACAGACTTTCTTCTATAGGAAACCCTGCAACAATTAAAATGTTTATTTTCTAATCTATCATTGTACTGGTTTTGATATTGGGCATKCAAAAACAAATGCATTTGTGAAAGTTTCCTGGACTAGGTTGAGAAATTATCCTGGGCTAAAGGTCTCAGCAGCAGCCCTTGCTAATTTAAAGATTCCTGATACCTTCACTTTTCTTTTTTCTATGATGGGGACCAAACCCAGGGCCTTACACGTGTTAGGCAAGCACTCTATCACTGAGCTACACTCCCAGCCCCCAAAACCTTCATGTTTTCTCCACAATAGTACTAACTATATTAGCTTTGCTATTATAATTACTATTTTCTTTGTGATTTTACTTAAATGTGAAGACATGACAAAATATCACATTGAAAGCTCTCATTTAAGAAATAATAGCTTATGGTACGTAAGTAAAAGAGATTTAAATCAGCACAAAATGAAATTTTAAAATTACAACCAGATTTAGTAGCATGATTTACATAAAAACTAGCATCAGCTGAAATAAAGGAACACATAAATGAAGGTTAATGGTTCATGAAAATTATAATTAATGCAAATTATATTCAGATGAGAAACAGATCCCAGTATATTCTATAACAAGTCACATCTCTTTAAAGTACCACTTAAGCAAACCTAAATGATAATGGGGACCATTATGTAAAGTAAGGCTATACTAAGCATTGGAGTTTCCACAATGAATTGTGCCAATCAAATTTTATAGTACAACGTTTGGTTCKCCTGAGTGTAGACTACATTTTGTGTTTGGTGGAGGCAGAAAATAATTTAACTCAGKAATTTGTATGATATTTGTACATCCTCTTTATTTTTTTTCTTTCCTCTGCTTCTTCTGATTTGCAAGATATAAAAGAAAAAGTAAAGAACACCACAAATCAATCATTAGGCAGAGATATGCTAAGCATAGTTTTATATGAGAAGCAGATTTTTGTGTGGTTTAAATATCATCGTTGAGACATGAACAGTGCTTTGTTATGAGAGACCTAGGATGAGCTTTACAAATACAGATGGTCCCCAACTTAGGATGGTTCTTTGTATAATTGTTTAAATTTATGCTGGAGTGAAAGCAATATACATTTGGTAAAATCAGTACTTGAATTTTGTTCTTCCTAGAATCATGATATGTGGCCCCATGCTCTCTTGAGATGTTGGGCAGTGGCAATAAGCTGCAGCTTCTGGTCAGGCCTGTGATCACACGGTTACTGTGTGTAAAATAGGCTGGATGTTAGATGATGTGGACTAGCTGTAGACTCATTTAATTGTTCTGATCACTTTTCAGGTAAGCTAAATTAATCTGGGAAGCTCGGTAGGTTAGATGCATTGAAAACATTTAATTTGTAATATTTCCAACTTATGATGGGTTTATTGGAATATATTGTAAGTCAAGGAACATATATAATTCAAAAAATAATTTCTTTCCATAACTAAGTAATAGAAATGAAAGGAATATGGACCTTAAACTCTTATGTCATTTTTTATCTATTTTTATATAAACAAAAAAGAAGTGTCAAAACATTTTAATCTCTACAAAAATATACCCTTTGTAAAACCAAACTGGAAACTGTAGTGTATTTCAATTGCACAAGCAATTTTTTTCCTGGAGTAGGGATTGAACKCAAGGCTTTGTCTACCACTGATCTACACCCTCAGGCAATTTTTATTTGAGGATAGCTTCAATTCTTTTCCCCCTAAAAGCTGAAATTATTCAGTGTCAGTGGCACTATTTTTCAAAGAAATATAACTCAATAATGGGTTTTTACATACATTGCTTTGAAATTTAAAATTTTCGTTACTTCTGATACGATCATAATTAGTGATATTGTCACATGATGGTAATGTACATATAGGCAGATATACAACCTTTAAATAAGAGCAGCAGTTTCTCTATCACTAAAATTGTAAATGCCCCCATTATATGATCTTAATTATGTCATTACCATTTAGCCTCAAAGTATATATACTCCTCAGAACCTATTTGCATATAATAAAATGAATTTCCTTGCATGACTTCATAAAATGATTCTCAATAAGTGGTTTTTCATCGTCAATGTAAATATATTTCCTTTATTTTTGCACTCCAATTTCAATATTCCCAAACAAAATTTGATCAAAAATATAATTGGCAAAACACWTGTTCCTTGTAGAAAATAAAACACATTTATTTGAGATCATATAACCTAAATTTTATGTAGGAAAAAGAATTCTACTATAAGATAGATGACATTAGTTAACCCATGCATTAAAGTAATTCTCTTTAAAATGTGTATTGTTAATTCTGGAAAGTACAACCTAAAATGAAAAAAAAAGTACAAAAGACAAATCCTTGTCTTTATAATGCTAACTTCTTAATTTTTTAAAAGAATATGTCACCGAGATTAGACATGATAGATGGTCTGGTCATTTCTACAGGGAAGTCGTAGTATCTATATAACATCATTCTTCTCTTCTGGATTCTAGAACATTTTATGATAAATGACACTCATGTGGAGCTCTGTATGTAGTAAGACTGTGGYAGAAGATGTTTTGAAATGGTGGTGAAAGCAGGTGAAACATTCATGTAATAGTGTCCAGCAATCAGGGAGTTCATGGTCAGAACCCAACTGGGGGGGAAATGGCTCCTGTTTGCTCCATTCCTCCTAACATGCTGCTATTTCTAGGTTCTTTCAGTTACAGGGAAAAAAACAACAACCCAGAATTTATTATTAATAATTCTATTCAAATAGTAGGTAATATCCACTCAGATTTTTGTATCTAAACTGATAACTATTGAGGTTCATGCCACATATTCACTGAACACTTCATGGACTGATACGGGCTTTTCAGTTGAAACAAAATAATACCATTGCCCGCCTCAGTGCCAAACTTCCACATAAACGCTCTACTACCTCCCATTCTACTCACATTATAACCTTTTCAGCCATCTCTGGCCTTTCATAAAAACGCTCTTGTCCAGATAGCAGTGACTTCCATGATGATATACCCAAGGACAGTTTCTGTCATTTTCTTTTGGTTCCACATTCTGGGAGCATGGCCTCTACTGGTACCAGGAACACGGCTACCAAGATATCCCTTCCACCACACTGTCTCCCCTTTTCACTCCCCCACCCCCCACGGCTCTCTTCTTTATGGCCTCTAATGTCGGCATTTTTTTAGAGCTCAATTGGTGCAGGAAGCTCCTTTGTATCTCCAGCCTCGACTTTTGCTCTGAGCAATAACTAGATCACATACCCAATAGCTACTAAACTGACACATCCACGTGGCTGTTTCATAAGTATCTTCAACTTACATACCTAAAATATGAAAAATTAATGCCTTCTGCTGTGCAAATGTATTCTTCTCCTCAGGCTTAGCCATTTTCCAGAGAGTAATGCCATTATCCAACAAAAAATATCATCTTCAATTCTCTCCTGGGTTATCTGCCACC